CCCCAAAACCCCAAAACCCCAAAACCCCAAAACCCCGGAAACAATTCAGTCAATTGAATCAATGGCTGGTTTCCAATAGACAAACTTCGTGGTAAAGAAGTAAGAGATAAAGAAATTGTAGGTAAATGTAATGAGTAAAGACGTAGAATAAGGGCACATATAGTGCAGGTACGCAGTAAAGACGTAAATGGGATGCTTAGTGACTGAGTCCACCTAAAGATTTCGAAGAGAGTTGAGACAACTCGGAAATCTTAGAGTTTACCTCTGTCTGCAAATCCCTAACTGATTGTAGTAGATCAATAAGATCTGAAGAATCAGCTACTGTAAGGAAGTTTTTGAGTACTTTGTTATCATTTATTGACTTCGAATTGGTGCAAACACTGAGTTCTCCTGAATCGTCTCTAATAGACATAGAAACTACATTATTAATAGGTGGGAGTTCAACTTTCTCATCGATAAGGATGTCATCAAAAACGCTAATTTCTTCATGGAAAAACTTCTTCTTTTCAAAAGATGATGTATTATGTCTGGTATTGATATTTACTTCATCAGCTGGTCTCTTAAATCCACAGTGGGCAACATCTTTAGTATAGCAAGCAGTATCAGATTCTTTTTCGCTTTTAATAGAGCCCTTTTCCTTAACTGGCATTCCTAATCTGTGAATCTTTTTGGCGCCATTAAGGTTGAATTGGTCAACCATACCCTCATCTTTTTCCCAGAATAACTTATCAGCGGCATCATGATCATTGAAAAAGTTCAAGTTATTCTGAGCAGGAGCTTTGTCAAAGAAAGAATCAATACATTCATTCAAATCAGCTACATGAGTTCTTCCTAAGTTATAGTTAGTCTCATTCTGGAAGAAGTTGTTTCCATAAAGTTCACGAGTAGGAGAGGATGATCTCAAGTTGGGAAACTTTTGATCAAATTCTCTTGACTCAATGCTAGCTCCTGAAAATGGGTTATTAAAACTCATCTTTATTTTTTATAATTAATTAGCCTATTTTTTTCCTATATTTATAGACTTTATGGGGTTTTGGGGTTTTGGGGTTTTGGGGTTTTGGGG